AAACAATGTTGTCTTATATTATGAATAAATAAAGATATTAAAATGTTTCATACCGGCATGAATATTATCCAATCATAACAACAGTTATTAGGGTAATTCCTACATTCATGACTGCTGCAAGTTTTTCTATATTTGCCTTCTCTCACAGGTGAAGCAGCCAACATAAGCACCATCAGGGCAATACTCATCAGAAAGCTAAAAATATTCAAAAACCCATACACTGCAGCCTGCAGACCAAACAAATATTAAAGTACTTAACAATTTAACTGTATGGTGCCACACTTACTGCAGTAATGTTAATTTAACAATTATTTCGACCCCAGGCGATACTTATTTAGTCCTTGTTTCGCAAACCCACCGCAAGTTGAAAATGTAGATTTGAAATAAAAATAAATTTTTATTTTTGATCTGTTTAGCGCACCCGCCGCTGTGAATAACTGGAAATTAACGAAAAAAATTATTCTGATTTTTATTTTACAACACCGCACGTAGAATTTTACCAGAAAGGAACGTGAATAGGCCTGGCCTATCTATTTTTTCACAAAAATACATAAAAGCATTAAAAAAATCGAAGCAAACTTATATCAAAATAATTAGAGTGTGTTTTCCTACGATCGATCGCGACATACACAAAGTGCTAGCTAGTGGTAGTTCCTAAATCCCAAAATTTAATTCGCAAATACAATTTTATTATTTCATCTCCTTCACTCAAGTACGTTTTGCTAAATTAAAAAATCAAATTTTATTTTATTTTTTTTCCATCCGCCGATGAAGATTTTTCCCAAATTAGGTGCTCTAAACAAGGAATTAAAAAAAATATCACCCTACCAGTGGTGGATTTAAAAGAGGCAATGCGGGCCATCATTAATTTTTTTAAATTAGAAAAAAAAATGAAGGAAAAAAAAAATTATATTTAAATTTATGTTTGAGGGTTTCATTGCTGTCCAACTAGAGGTGTCATAATCATAAATTTTCTTACCTCCTTCCCAACAACGGTGGAACTGATGTTCTCTAGATCCTCCGTCTGTGAAAGTCCCTTCCTGGACCCCTATATTTAGAATTCCTGGATCTACAACTGACTAAGTATTGGAAGGTTTGGAATATCTCTTATAGTGCAATTACACTGAAAATGCCATATACTGCAAATTGTGCATGGTCAAATGAAACTAGGACAAATCTGCACAAAAATCACAAGTGCACGGAATCGTAACTACTGCACAACACATTAATCATATATTGACAGATATGTCGAGGCGTAATTTTCTGCAAAATTTGCGTGGAAATTGGCACTTATTTTCTGACATGAACAGATTTCTAAGGCTAATTATCGTGGAGAGGATACATTCCCAGCGCAAGCCTTATTTTATAGTCAGGCTGAAATGTGCCTTAATTTATAAAATAAACAATTAGTAAATATAATGCATTTACAGTTCTAAGTTACTGTAAAATAATAAATAGTTATTACTTCTTATTGTTTTATTGTTTTCATGAAAAAAGTAAAACATATTTTATTTTTCAAGTTGAAGTTAATAATTAAGGGTACTTGTTTTACAGTAGCAACAACAGTAAACAAGACTGTTCTATCTTGTGCCATCAGTATTTTCATTAGGGAAAATGTTTTTACAGTACGAAATATAGGGTAATACTGTACATACCAAGACTCCATGTTTTACCACGCACATTCCAACAACACCTGTTGCAACAAACTGTATGAAGAAATGATAAAAAAAATTCACAGCAAACAGGCTTTTAGAATCATGAAACAATAGAATAACTGTCTCCCTGTACTGTATAAAGACCATCTCCAATTAAATGCACCTCCTATTGAGAAAGATCCCATCTATGGTAATTAAAGAACACTTTGCTTTTAAAAGTCAAAAAAAAAGGTGTTGGGGTAAGTTTTAGCTTAGAACTTAAAAATTAAACTGTGACTTACTGCTACACCAGCCGCAATGCCGGCTCCGGGGTACATGCAACCAAAGACACATGCTACGATGCCCAATCCAATGGCCAATGCACCACACAAAATATGGATCAAACTGAACACTTTGATAGGAGATGTCTTTAACTTGGAATGGGTTGGTGAGCAACAAGATGGCTCTTTCTCCATCTCATCTTCAGCAGTGTTTGAACTCTGACCTACATCTGAAACTAGTGGATTATACATTTTACCTGAGGAATGAAAAATAATATCATAAACAACTAAAATAACAATACAATAAAAACAGTGGCGGATCCATAGTATTTTTGCTGAGGTGACACAAGTGCAATTTTCCCCCTGAAATCCCGGTGGCACTGCCACTGTGCCACCAGGCTTCCCCAATTTTTCCACCCTCTAAACCTGGCACTGAATAACAATCAACTATAAAACATTGAGCAGTACAGTAACAGGTTGACAGGCAATAATATGATAATCACGTAGCGTAGCAGCAGTCAATAATGTTACATAACAGGTGCAGTATTGCCTGCTTTTGGATAGGAAAAGGGAAGAATTAGGTTTAGTGGTTTGATTGTATTTTTTACTTCTAAAATTGTTTAAAGATTTTTTCACTTTATAGTTTCAACATCAGTTCTTATTATGGCAAGGAGGAAAAGTCCATAGTTACTGATAGTTATAGCAGTAAGTATCAGTGGCGGATCCAGGAATTCGAGACAGTCCATGGTACCCCCAGGGGACTACATTATTACAAATGGAGGGTCTAGAGCACAGGTGGGCAAAGTGCTGCCTGACAGCGACTTTGTTAGTGGCCCGCAAAAATGAATTAAAAACCCTATATGCGTGGCCTGCCAAGCACATAGGTCCAGGTAAATCTAAGAAGAAAGTATAATATACTCCAAGTAGTATTTATAATTTAGATGGTATATTTGCAATAATTTTTTTCTTCTTTATTTTCCTCTAGTCTCCAGACATCTCCTGCCATAAATAATTACACATATTACGTTATAATACTGTTAACTCTTTCCCATTCACATATATCATAAAAGGGTGTTTCTGTAAAAAGAAAATACTGAATGTAATACCAATTGATGCTGCAATATAGTAAATAGTATATTTACAATTAGTCAAAAAAACAGTAAAATGAAAATGACTGTTTTCGTGTTTAACAAACGGTAGGCCAGGCCTATACTGCTTAGAATATTATTATACATTCGAGGTCGCGCCTTCGGCGCTCCATACACCGCGACCGAAATGATGGGATACCGTACCAATCAATCAATCGTTTACAGAATTTCCAAAACAAATTAGGGACCTCTAGCCTAGGCCTAGCTTCACTTCAGAGTAAATCTACCTCATACCATAGCTCATACATATTGAGGTTTGCTTCATCATTAAGATACACTTGCGAAGAAAGTAATGTAGGCCTAGGCACTCTGATTCCATTGAGAAAGCTGATTACATCAAGGAGGTATTTTTATACCTCCTTGGTTATATAATGTAGGCTACTACTAGTCACATAGAACAAGGAGGTATAAAAATTTTTATACCTCCTTGCATAGAAAAACGACCCTACAGGTAGGCCCTTTACACAATAATCGTGTGCCGACCCGCCATGATGACAATGCCCGAGATCATGCTATGGCGAATGACGACACTTAAAAATTGGTTTGCAGAAAACTTACCGATTATTTCTCTCTATCTTTTTTGTTTCTGACGTTGCGAATATATACTG